TAACAGTAAAAAATTTTAAAAAAATAGTAAAAAAAAGAGAAAAAATTAAAAAGCATTTCAATGTGCGCGCACACGCCCCCACACCCCCCCCCCATATCAAATCATAAAATTCAATTCTTTTTAGGTTTTGATCTATTTCTTAAACAATATAAATGCAAGATTGACCATAAATGAGGCCAAAATTAGAGTTGATCGTGGATTTTTCTCTCCTCTCTTCGCATTTAGAGACTAAATTATAAAATAAAAAACTTAAAGATTTAAATTTTTTTGAAAATATTAAGAATCAAAGTGCAATATCGGGAAAAAAAACCCGAATATATAAATGTCTCAATACAACCTAAAAACCATGAAAATGCCAAGTATGCAGTGCATATAAGTCTAAGTAAATATTACATAAATGGTTTTTGTGAGTGTCCCAACGCGTAGTAAATAGTCCAAATCTTTTAGTGTTTTTTTTTTTTGATATGTAGTTTCTAAAACTACAAGGATCAATTTGCCAGTTTTTTTCAAACTAGAAGGACCAAGTTATAATTACTAGGGTAAAATTCTGTCATATCACTACCTGTTAGCGTTTTCGGCCTGTTTGCTCCTACAATTTTATTTGAAAGTTCTTTTTTTTTCCCTACATGACTAGCACTTCCGGTCATTGAGTAATTAGCAGAAAAACTAAAAGATTTTGTTTTGGGCCTGCAGAAGCCCAACAAGCAGGCTTACCCTTTTTTTTTTTTTTAACCAATTTATGTTTACTTATTATTATTATTATTATTATTAAATTGGGTCCGAAAATTATGAAAAATTAATAATTATTATTTTTTTATAAGTTAATGATTATGAAATATATATAATATATTTTTTAGATTTTAAAATGAACATGTATATCGGATTATACTACTCTTATTGTATAAAATTAATATGTTCAATTTGTTATTTTTTATAAAAAATTCTCATAAAATTAATTTTTATTTTTTGATAAAATATGATTTATTTTTCTATATATGGATTTTTGAATAATTTTTTTAAGTTTTTTTTATTTACTCATTCTTTATATAATAAAATTTTAAAAATAGAATTCATATGTTTTATTTGCTTATTATTTATGCAACTAAATTATATCATAATGATTTTTTTAGTTTTTTTTTATTACAATCTATTAACTTCAATATATTTTTTGCAACTTAATTTTTTAAAATATTTTTTGATTTATGCTATACATTCCGACTCACTCGAATATGATCACGGTGTTTAAAAAAAAGGATTATTGATTTTATTGAAAGTGAATATAGACATAACACCCACTATTTGTTAATATTTTTTTTAATATTTTAAAATTAAACTCTTTTAAATAAAATAATTAAAATGTATTTTAGAAGAACTACCTAATAATTCAAATATAATTTTTTATACTAATTTTATTTATTATTTTTAATTATTTATATATAAATCAAATGTACATATTTTTTAAAAATTAATCTTTTCGTTAGTATTAAACAAGAATAAAGAAGATTTATTTATTTATTTTTATCTTTTATACAAGTTTTTATATTAATTATTGCTTTATTTCCTCGATGCAATGATATGAAAAAATATATTAAAATGTTTTTAAAAATTTTATATTCGGGTTATTGTGGGTTTTTATTTAAGAAAACTGCATAAGAAATAACAATTCATGTTTTTTAAATATAAAATTTATAAAAAACATAAAAAAAATACAAATTTTGATTAAAAAATATACAATTATTTAAAATTTTATATTTAATTTAATATCTTTTAGATGATCGACATAATGCGTATTATAAAATTTAAATAAATATATTTAATTCGATTCGTAGTATAATACGGAAAGCCGATTAATGTATTTTAAATTGGTTTGATGAATTTCTAAGTAGGCATTTTTTTTCCCTCTCTGTTTGGTGGAACTTTTTTCTTCTTTCTGTTATTGTGAAATTATTCGTTAAATTAACTATAACACGACGATGCTCCCGTGAGGTTAGATGGTACGTTTCTTTTTCTTTTTTTGGTTATGTATGAAAAGAAGTATACAAAAAAATTATTACTTATTCTAGGAGTTGTATTCTTTCTTTCAGATAAATATGGTATCCGTCATAAAAATTATTTATAAATATCTATTTTTATATTTACAAGAAAAAGAAAACTCTTGATAAATTGAATAATTCCTCAATGCCCACACATCTATTGTATTGAAAAATCCGTCTACAATCTCACGCAGTGGGATTGGGAGCACCCGAGCATGAGTAGAGAATTCGTGTTCGCATTCCATATTTGCGTCTAGAAGTGTGACGCGTTTATTATTATTATTTTGTGTGATAAAATACTTTAGTGGCATTGTCAAGCATTACGCTGTGCAATGAAAAAAATGGGGACGTAAAAGCATGTTCAACCCTCACATAATTTGGAAAATTTTTGCCACTTTAACGACTGCTGCAAATCAGCAACTCACAAGCCTGCCATTAGAAGCATTTTTCAACTAAAGAATCAAATACTTTAATAGAGCAGCCTGGTGTATAATAACTCATTCATACAATTTGTTATTTGAGTCCCTTTTTTTTTTTTTTTTTTAAATGTGATTACATATAATGTTAGATGTATCTGATAGTAAGTAGATTTAATATATCACGTCTTTATTTAATTTGATGGATAATATTCAATCATATAATATACAGGTTAGGGTTTTATGTTACTTCCTATGTTTATTTATTTTTTTTTTAAAAAAACTAAAACATTTGGAAGGTTTATTGTTAGGTTCACCATAGTTGTAGATTTAGTGGCACTTAGACTCAACATCTGATTTTATTGTATATTGTTCACCATAGTTGCAGATGAAGTGGCACTGTAGAATCAACATATGATTTTATTGTATATTTCACGTTATTTCAGATAATTATATATAAAATTTTATACTTTGGTTCTTAATATTTCAATAACTTTATTTTAATCAACAACTACATTCGATACACACTTTGTTCTTTAAGTCTAGAAATGAGAGAGAGCGTCGACTAAATTTATTCCGATTATTTTGTTCGACGTTATTATATTCAATTTGTTTATTCTCGAGAATTGAATTTATTATTGTGGTTTTAAAACATAAAATGATTGAAGGATATAGATCAAAACCTCAAAATATTATGAATTTTTGAAATTAATTTTTTTTATATTCATTATAATTAATTTTAAGACTTCAAACATGTTTCTTGACTTTGTTTTGGTGTTTTTAAAGTATTTTAGAGCAAAAACCATGCACAAATTGAGTTTTAATGCTGAAAAACTCAAAAACTCGTTTTTTCAACAACCTAAAATTTGTCGAAAGTTGCAGCAAGGCATGTTGTCTGCTGCTATCTTTCTCTCTTTTTTCTTTGAAATATTGTCAGCCCAGGTCAACTAAGCCTACCTCTGCATGCTTGTCTTGATTTTTTTTTCTTTTTCTTTTTTAGATTTCTTTTTATTGATTTTATGCTAAATTTATGAAAAAAAATTATGTTTTTTTTTTCCCAAGTAGCATATTGATTAAAAAATATCTTTCCTTTAATACGTTATTTTTTACTTTTTTGCTTTCAAAATTTAAGATAATTTCTTCGATTTGTCTTTTTTTTGGAGACATCTAATTAATTTCTTAATTTATTTTTGAATAAAATTTTAAAATGTAATTATTTTTTATTTTTATTTAAATACATTAATTTAGTTTATATAATAAATTCTTATGATTTTTAAATGAGAGCAATTTAAATACACTTAATCTTTTTTAAATAAACTGATGATGTGCTTAATAAAAAAACAGTACATGTTTTACACTTACACATGCATATTTGGAGATATCCTAAACCACACCCATGCCATTAGAGTTAGTTGGGTAACTTGAATTCATGCATTGTTGACTCAATTTTCTTTCAATAATTTTGAAATGCGTTCGAATGGCGTTAATCTTACAACTCGCCTGTTGCCCATCCCAGCCTGACACTGACACTAGTGGGCCTATGAAAGAACAAGGAACGGTTTTACCTTGGCCCAGATTCTAAAAAACTTTAACAAAAAAGGACCTTGAAATAGAAATGGACCCAATTATCAAACTGCCTATTTCTGAAAAAAGAAAGAAAGAAATTACGTAAGGAAAAGAAAAATTGTTTCAAGCTTTAAGGATGCGAGTTCTGTGACCAAATTTCAGCCCATGCATATGATCTCGGACCCCCTCTAGTGGTTAACAAATTCAAACAAACAAATAAGAACTTCCTATCAATTTTTATTTTAAAATAAATCATGTTTATGACTTCAGTTTTCAACAATTGAAACTTTTTAATTTCAAGCAAATCATCGTACATACTCATCGAAGTGTCATAACAACCTCCTAAGTCCTAACCATCTTTTGAGTTCAACTGCATTAATTATATGAGTTTTTTTTTTTTTTTTTTATATAATTTTTAAGAAAACCAAGTGTGGGCCCGACCAAACCAAATCCAAAAAACGGGTTCACGTGTGTGCGGCGACGTTTTATCGGACGCGAACGCTTTGGACGGGGACACGGCGCGCACATTTCACTCAGATAAATTGCACAGTTTCGCAGTCACATTTTTAATTTTTCTTAGTTAATCTTTCTCTGTCAAAACCTAAAATTCACTCACTCTCTTTCTATCTCTCTCCCCTCCCACGCACACACAATTATCAATTCCGATTTCGCCGTAAACCGCCAAATCTCTCTCTGCAATTCAAATCTTCTCCCTCTTCCTCTCCCTCGCCCTCCTCTCTCTCAGGTATATGCATTTACATGCACATGCACATAAATTAATTAATTACTTATTAGCGTGTTATTGATCTTCCTTTTCATGAAGTTAGGGTTTAGTTCGAGAACTGATAGATTAATTTTTTTCTTTGTTTTTGAAGCTTTAATTTGATGGAGAACTTGGAGTCTCGGAGGTATTTGTAGATATTTAGAAACCTTTAAACGCAGCGTTTTATACAAGGAGATACATCTTTTGGATATTGTTTGTCAAATGTCAGAAGTTGATATGGCTGTTATTAAACCTGAGGTTTGTTTATTCTTATATTGTTTTTAACATTCTCATTTTATTTATACTCGATTATTATTATTATTTTTTTATGTGCAATTATTTCTTGGATGCGAGTTCATTGTTTTTCAGCTGTGGAGACCTGGAAGTGTAAATTGCAGGAACGTATTATTGGAATGAAGATAATAGAAATTGCATGGTTAATGCTGAATTGGTGAACGCCAACTTATTTCATTACTTTTTAGGCATTTGTGACTAATAATATACAAGTAAGAAGCATTTGTAACTAATTACAAACAAGTAAGAAACAAGAGAGTTAAAACACTGCGTATTTTCAATCCTCTTTCTACAACAGAAGATTTGATATTGTTGCTTTGCAACTTGATATATCTTGGTTATTTGAGCTTCTTCTTGAAACAAGAAGTTCTCAAAGTCACCGATTAATTTTGTGGCTTCTCTCAGTGTTTTAATGAGGATTTATCTGAAAGACTCAAATCATGTTGCTACCTATTCTCAGATGATGAAATCGTATATCTGGATACAGACCACGGATGGTGCAATTCAGCAAGTGGAACAAGAAGTTGCCATGTTTTGCCCCATGATATGTCAGGAAGTAATACAAAAGGGAATGGGATCTTCTAAGAACTATGCTATATCTCTACCACAAAGAGTCAGTCCTGCCATGTTTAGTCTAATTCTTGATTACTGTAGATTTCACCAAGTACCTGGTCGCTCTAACAAGGTTTATTCACTTTCCTGACATTTCATATGTTGTTTGTTGCCTTTTACATTTGTTTCTTCTCTCACTACTTGACGTCAGAAGTACTTACTAAATGGGAAAACTTGAACCAATCATTTGCATGTTCAGGGAACTGTTAGCCCATAAAAGTTTTAGAACATGAAATGGCATAGATATAGTTCTACTTACTTTAGGCTGTTCTTCTGCATAGGAACGGAAGTCTTTTGATGAGAAGTTTGTTCGAATGGACACAAAGAGGCTTTGTGAGTTGACTTCAGCTGCTGACAGCCTCCAGCTAAAGCCTTTGGTTGATCTTACTAGTCGTGCACTTGCACGGATTATTGAAGGGAAAACGCCTGAGGAGATACGTGAGATATTTCATTTGCCTGATGATCTAACAGAGGTGTCTGGTGCTTGTGAGAACTGTGTGTAGCATGTCTTTTTCATACGTCTTGTGATTTTAACTTTGGTTCCACTGATTTAGGAAGAGAAGCTAGAGCCTTTGAAGAACACAACTGATGATCCACGAATCCGACTTTTAAATCGTTTGTATGCAAAGAAGAGGAAAGAACTAAAAGAGCGAGAGAAACTAAAGGTTTATTTTCTGTACAAACTTTGTCACCGAGTATTGATACTTTCATCAGTCTAAATCCTAATCAAGCTGTGTCTGCGAATTGTGATTGTGTTGGGCCTTCCATTTGTTGCAGAATGTCGAGGCTGAAGAGGATCTTGTGGATGACCGCTCAGTTGATGACCTTTTATCATTTATTAATGGAGGAGATGGAGGTATGCTTGAGTGTTGGTCAACTGCACCTTTTCTTACGTCTAATTCCTAAACTATTTTCTACCTTCATGATGCATTTGCTGACGTTTGATATTATAATACCAAACCTGCTGGTGAATTTACATGCCACTAACAAAAGTGACAATGCCATATCATAAAGTATGAAAACTAGGAAATGTCTGTTTGTAGTTTGTACAACATTACTAGAAAAAAAAATGCAGAGAATGGATGCTTCAATCTAGAAATTTCTAGATCTTTGTTTGTTCTTTCAATTCCTATTGTAACAGAATTAGTGGACTTCTAGGTTCAAGAAAAGCGGGGCAAAATTTTATGTTCTCCAATGATTCTTTCATTCTTGGAAGTGGTGTTTGATTGTGATGATTACAGTTGCAAAGAGGAGTGAGAGAGCTTGGCAGGACATAACTAACAAAAGATATATTTAGTGTTACACATTGACAGAAATGCTTGTAACTCCTTATCAAACATTTGAGTTTTGCGGGATTGGCATTGCTGTAATTTGGTTAATCATATAATTAAAGGGACCTGGACTTGATACTTCATTTGTATTATTCATGTAATTTCTAGTTATTCCTGGATTTTTTTTTGTACAGTGTTGGCTTATGGAATTGTATTTTTGTTAAAGATTCAATTTAATCTACCTGATAGTGAAAAGAGTTAAGTGACTTCAAAGCATAGCCTCTGCTATTTATAAATGCATGTAGAGTTTCAATGAAATGCTCTTGTAAATTTCTTGGTGTGTATAAAGGATCAAAACAACATCTTTGATGCATTGTTTTATGTCTGTATTTAGCGGCTTTTTAGTCTATTTTATTTTATTTTTTATTGTCTACTTCAAATCCTCTTGAAGGCCTTGTTGAAGGCAATGAATTTTTCTTTTCAGATTCCAAAGGGATCAGAACTTCCAAGAATAAAAAGAAGCACCGAAAAAGGAAAGATCAGCAAAAGTGTGCCACTTCAAATGAAGCCATTGAGATGCATAAGAAGGTTCTGGGCCCACCATGTTCCCATACCTTATTTTTTTTAAGCAATGAGGTTCAGCAATAGTTAAGCTTCTGTTTTGTCACATTTTTTCAGGAGTCAAACGCTGTTAGTTCTCTATGCCATAATGCTGAGGTTGATCATGAATTACAGTCCAGTCTCAGTGAGACATTGAGGTTACAAGATGCGGCAGAAATTTTTGCACCTACGGTGGAGTTTGATGAGGTTGATAATGACGATGAGATAGATCCAGCTTTAAAAGAAGAAATTGATAGGTGAGCATGCGCATGGATTATTCATGTATTTTTATAAGTGTAAGTACATATATGATTGGTTTTTTTTTTTTCTTAAACAGAATACCTTTTTCTATTTTGGTAGATGATGTTTGCTAGTTTTTCCTTTTTTTCCAATTTTCTACATTGATCAATTGTGATGTGAAGTTAAAAGATGACATGCTCGATTGTGTGGTCCAAGGACTAAATTTTTTTCATCAGTATTTCTTTGTGGCTTCAATAGAATGTTTTTGAAGTAAGAAGGTGTGCTTAATAGTTGGTCAATGAGAATTTACCATGGCTATTATTTGGGCATTTGAATGATCTATCATGATCGACACTTTTTATTATGATATTTGGAAGCTTCTGAATTACATATTGCAGTCTTTTGCCGTTGATAATTCGGAAAATATTACATCCTTTCTTGAACTCTCCTTCACATGGTCTTGACCTTATCTTGTTGTATTCGATAATGATTGTATTTTTAACCATGCAAGGACATGAATGTTAATACTTTCAGGTTTGGTATTTCATAATATATTTTTCCCCAGGGAGGTTGAAGATTTTGCTCGGATACTAAATTCAGATTGGCCTGAAAGGATGCAGGAGCTTCTATCTTTGGGTCAAGAGAGGAGACGGACACATTTATCTGTTAATGGCAATGGCACCTTGAAAAGATATGGAAGTATGCCCTCTTTTCCCTTGTGGTCTTAAAGTCGCTTTTGCAAGTGATCATTTTGTTCTCTGCAATATCCTGATCCCTTGTGTATCAGTAGTTGCCTACTTTAATGCTGCATTGGGTTTCTTCCTTTTCATATAATTTGATTTGTGGGTTTGGAGATTCAAATTTTTAATCAATGGTATTTACCTAAATTGCATTCCATGTAAATTTCCACTCCTACCTATGACATGCATGGTATGGACCATTTTGTGTATGCTATATTCCTTGAGAATCTTGTCATTTGAGTCTGGATGACTGGAAATTCTTGTCCTGACTTAGTTGTTTTATCCAGTGACATTTGTTAGTGTTGTAACAAAGGGATACATGAAGTCTTAATTCACTTGACTCTGTACTTTGTAGAGGGCATCATGAGTTTTTTACGTAAAAGCAGATGTCTGGATTCTAACTTTGCGGTTGAATAATGAGCTCTCATAGGTTGTGAATGGATAGATGGGATAAAGCATATTATGAAATAATGCCAGCAGTATCCCTTGAACCTTAATTTATTATAGCCACCATGACTGTCATGTTTCTCTGTGTCTAATTAAATGATTTGTTTGTATGGAGAGGAACAGATCCTGGGAAGAAATGAATTTTCTAGTATGGATTCTCCCTCAGATTCTCCCTCAGATGGCCAACGACTAGAACAATTTTGACCAGATGCTAATGCAGGTAGCATCGACGGCAACAAAAAGGATTGTATTGTCATTGATGTGAATTCACATGTAAGTTTTTTCCATTTATTTTTTAATTCTTTTTCTCATAAAAAGAAAAATAGAAAGAATTGCTTGTGCTTTTTAGGAAGCAATTTGATTGTAGGGGCAACCTTTGTACTTCGAGGGAAGGAATAAAAATGCAAATGCCATTCTATGAGCCAGTTCTGCTCAATTGTTATTAGCTTGTGTGAAGTGGTGGTGCTGTTTGTTAATATCAGTTAAAGAAGTGTGGAGTGCGTAGACCATAGTACGGGTTGAGGTACAGTGATTGGGCCTTTCACATTTTTTGTATAATGATGGATTAGCAACCACAACATGCAGTGGGGGAAAGGAGTTGAAGATATAAATGATAACTTTGCCTGGTTATGATTTGCGTCTTTTAGTTTCAGAGCACCTATATGGATTGATGAGTACTGAATTGCGAGCCTTCTTGGAAAACATGCTGAAAAAAAGCGATTCTATATGTTGTTCAAATTTCAAGACTTGTATCTTTAACGTCGTACTGAGCGAGTTTAGCTTCACCAAGTTGCACAACTAAAAGGGGGATAGAATTATATGCTGGAATAACGACTCCTGGTGTGGTCTGTTATGTTTAGAATATAAGCATAAAATAACAAAGCAAAAGGTTTACTAAAGTTGTTTGATTATCCACTGTTGGCATTAGATCATCTGATAGAATCCCTTACAAGGATTTCCTCAGGCAGTGCATAATTAGTTTCTTGTCATATCACAAGTAAAAGATTCTGGTAAATCTGAGCGTAGATGAAGATCATTTGCAAAGTAATTTGGGTGAATCAGAGCAGAGATTAGGGATAACAATGATTTGAGTATTAAATAAATATTTGCTAATTGAGTATAAAATTAATATAAATATATTCGGTGAAGTTGATTTAATAAATATCTATTAAGAATCTCTAATGGGTATTGAAGTAGATACAAAAAAAAAAAAAAAAAAAATTATATATATATATTAACATGGTTGAAGAATATGAATAACTACTCTTTGTCCCATTAATATTTATTAATTTATTTAAAAAATTTTTTTATCAACATGTAAAGATCCAATTGTATAAAATTTAAAAGTTAAATATGAACATTTTTGTAAAAACATTACAAACCAAAAGAACTTACAAATAAATGATCAAAATAAATAAATAAATAAATTTTAAGGATCACAAAAACCTTTTTGAAAAATGTATTATTAAAATAAATTTTTTCACAAATAAAATTTTGGAGGTATTAAATAGGCATCACATGACCCTGAATAAAGATTTATATAATAATTTTTTAATGAACAAAGGATAAAGGATTTTTTTATTGATAGGATAAAAAATTAAATTAATAGATGTTTATTGCCATCCCTAGCAGAGACGAAAATCATTTGCAATTTGTCAAACTAATTTTACTTTCACCTCAGTCCTCAGTACGTTAATGGCTACAAATATTACAAGCTCTCCTACAACTTGTACAGGTTACATTTATGAGTTCCTTGTGTATATACTAAACTAACCCCAGAACACCTAGAGTGAAGCACATTTATAGGCTTGTATGTGAAGAACAATTATAGGCTTCTATTGTTGAGATCCAGAGGGTTGAAATTGGATGTGCGGGCAGGGTCTTTCAGGTTCTCCCATTGTCCATAATGTTTTGAGATCGCCTCGTTGCTTTCCCAACGTCAAAAAAGTACCTGCATCATGACCACAGAATTAATGTGCACAAGCAAGACGGGCAGTTGAAATGACCATTTATCAAGCCATTTGTAGTTCCTACACATAAAGAACAGGTCAATGCCTTCTTTTCTTCTTTTTTCCTTGAAGGATAACAAGGCACTTAAAGATAAATTAAGCATTTTGCTCCAAGTTATGCCTTCCTTGATTAACTGCAAATATTCATTCTTCATTGATAGAGGTCGATGTTTGATGTTAATCAAAGGGAAGGAATGACTTTTGAGCAAATGCTTAGCTGTTCCATGCAGCTGGTATTTGGGTTGCCAAGGGTCCAGTTTCAGCTGGCCAAATATATGATTCCTCAAACCAGGCTGTGCTCAGCATGAAAGGAGATACATGCAGTACAGGTGAAAGCACCTTGGCAAGCAATTATCATTATTGTTCGCAAAGCATGTATAGTCGGTTGTGACTAGTTAAGAGGAAGGGGTAATTTCAGGACCTCCTCTTAAAGTGGGGAATTTTAGAACTTTGTTTCGAACTTTAAACCTCTCCACCAAGGGAAGTTGCCCATTGGGCTCCACCCAGTGGTTAAGATGTTGCTACTTACCAAGGGTAAATGGAACAATGTAAAGCAAAGCTGGCTGCCCATGTCCATCCATCATGTTCAAAGCCACGTATGTGATTAGGAGGCCTGCATATTAACAAATCGTGGATAGTGAAAATGGTGGCCATTAATTACAGAAACATAAAATACCCACAAGCTCACAATCAACTTTCGTTTTGATAAACTTCTCCAGAGAAACTTATATCCTACAAGCTATGCTTAGTTTTCAAACTATATATGACCTGTCCTAATAGAATTTATACCAACAAGTTCTTAACTGGATATTGACCTTGAGACAGTAGCCCCTTAATCTCTGACAGTAGATATGCAAAAAATATATCATACTTCTTGACACACCTCTGAAACATGAGAACTTGTTGCAGCTGCCTCTATATGCTTCAACAAATGCAGGATGTAGCTTTTATTAAGCAGCAGTGGTGATCTAAGTTTAATGTGATTGATACATGCAAGCGTGCGTATCAGCCATGGAATTCAATGCCATCTTCCCATTTTTTTCCTCTAAAAGATTTAGGTAAAGTTCTACAATTTCCCTTTTTTTTTTTTTTTGGGCACTGGTAGCCAAATATCTTGTATGTGGCTCATATATGCATCCCAATGAAGATTTCTCAGTTACTTTTAACTACCAGCATTTTAATAGTTCTCTTATGAACAAAAATGGTGTGTCCAGGACTCCAGGTCCATCCACTTAAGTTTTTGGCATACCTAAACCATAAGCAGTCATTGCCCACAAGAAGTATCCTGCTCGAAGATTCTTCTTTGCTAGCCAATCATACCTGCAAAATGACCCACACTGTTGGACTTATAAACAGTTAAAACATCATATCAAATCCCAGTCTGTATGGAACATATCAAAGTAAGTAAAAATATGATGACGAGAAAAGGCCAGTTATATTATTCATGGGCCAAGCATCCTAGCCTATTCCGCTTCTCATTTGGACAAAATATGATTTATGATTTATTTGACACTAATAGTTTCATGGTCAAAATGACAGAAAAAGGACAGTTTCCAATTAAGAAATGATTGTTTCTGCATAATCATGGTCAAATCCTTTTAAACTATTATCAATTTTAGACCCATTATAGGTAACCAAAGAGGCACAACATGAAGTAGGCTGACAATATGAGAGTTAGTAATAGAAGACTTGCATTTTGAAGGGAATTAAGGGACAATGTCATCAACCAAGTAAGTTATATGGCTTAAAATTCAAACCTCAATGAAAAAGCTACAAGTAATCCTGGTAAGATGATGTCACCAAAGCCAATTATGCTATAGCCACCCCAAGGATCAAACATCCGTGGGATTTTCAGTAGCATCGGTATACCATCCTCTCCACTCTTATCACCACGAGCTACCTGTAGGACGAGGAGAGAAGTGATGATTTGCATTTTCTATTAATAGATGCAATTCATCAACAGGACCAATTACAGGCCTCACCACAACTTACCACTATCATCACACTCTCCTTGAACCACCATTTGGAAACAAAGACCCAGAAGATGTCATACAAGAAGGCACAACTTAGAAGAACTGTTCCAACCTGACCATTATTATTTTTTTTTTTGTAACCAAAAGAAAAGAGAAGGTGTCAAAATCATCTTGAATAATGTAATCATAGTAGTTAAAATGCATTTGCTTATCATTAAGTGCAACAAGATCTTCTTGCATAACGTACTTGCATTGGAAATAATTTATATGCCATCAAATTCTTTGCATCATGAATTCTTAATCTGGCCAAGATTTTATATCCCATTCCTATGGAATATGACCTCTTGCAATTTATAGCTTTAAAATGGAGTCAGATGTAACAAAGAATAACAGCAAGTTTCTCAAGAAAGTGACGACAAATAAAAAGGCTACCGATGAAAACAAACAAGAGTAACACACAAACACTAGAACTGTGCAATGGCAAAACAAATAACTAATAGAATGACTTTGCATGATCACCTTGAGATTTGGAACACGAACAATCTGAAGAACTGTAATGATCAGAGCAATACCCTGATTGATGTTGGAAAAAACGAGAAATATTAGAAGGCCTCTTCCAATTATTTGCAATGACATGGAGAAGGTCAGAAAGAAAAGATGATCAAATTAAGCACCTCAAGCACTTGAAGTACAAAGACAAAAAAACTAATTCCGTTGGAAATATTTCCATAATGATTGAAGCATTACATCTTTAACTACCTCGAGTTAATGTTTCACCGGTAAAATCTGATAATTAGTTACAAATTCCATACGTGATTCTGAATGTTACCATTAATCTATGCTATTGCAAGTACCGCACTCAAGTATGTCCAATTTAGATATGACATTATGGATATTTCCCATTCGCCTTTCCTACTTAAACTTTGTGATTAATATTAGTAGAGATATTGTTTGGCTTGGTGAAGGTGGAGTGCTGGAGTCTATTTAAGGAAGGGGAAACAAACATTATATTGGCCATATAAGAGAGCAATGATAAAACTGTAAGCAGTCAAGTTGGTCTGCATATGCACATATGAAGAGAACTGGAGCAAGTTGAAAAGCGAGGAAAACAAAAATTGTCTCACAAGGATATCTTGACCTATCCAAGCAAAGGAGACACGCCGGAAAACTGCCCAAACAACAGCAAATGCTATGCAGAAAGGAGAGACTGCCAGTGTCAGATATGAGACAGCTCCAAAAAAGGGAACTTTAACAAATGATTCTCCAGCAGGTTGAAACCATCCGAAACTACAATTGTTAGCTGTCAGTTTCATATTCTACATGAACTATGAAAAAAAAAAGGTAAAAAATGTAGTAATAGACAAGTATGGAAGAGTAAATAACAAAAGAAAACAGGTAAAGTTGCTGAAAGAGGGTAGCATAGTTCTCATACTGTGGTCACTTAAACGAAAAGAAAAATTAAAATGTCGTTGTTCCGGCCACATTTAATGTTGCTCAAGGCAGTTGCCACTTTTTCTCTTTCCCTTCTATCGAAATAAATGCATGATTATAGATGTTAATAACATGGCCCTCTTACTAATTTTATAAGAAAAAATAAAAAAAGTGGCAAGTTAAAACCGAAGGGGCATCACAGGGATAATCATTTTTTTTTTTTAAGAATCAACATGGATAATCATTTGAGGTACAGGAAAACGAGCTCTTAATAAAAATATTCAAGACCTGGAAAGATCAAGGCTGTTGAGGTCCTAATTTTTCTTTTAATATAACAGTTCCAAGACTAAATAAATAAGAGACAAACCCATAGCAAGGAGTGACAAGAAAGCTCAAAACAAAGTGTACTCAGCAAACAAGGCAAAATCCCAGGAGAATTTCAACTTAATCAGGCATTATGGGAAAATAAAAAAAATGTTTGAAGAAGCCATGCTTCCTGTCCCTTTTACTATCATCACAGAAAAAATTCACAACACAAAAGTACAATTATGTTGGGAATTAAAATGCATAAAAGGGGAAAGAATACACATACCATGATAACAAAGCAACCAAGCAAGTTTGCAAGCCCTAAAAGCATGAAGAGATTTCAAGGTTCAAAATTCACCATAAAAGAATCTTTGGAATGATGCAATCTGAACCCAACAAACTCAAGCAATGTTTGAAAGATGTATGGAAACTTAGGCACTTAGACTTGCCCCACGTTTCACCAATACACTAACTATTTGATGATTGAAAAAGAAATAAGACAAACATGGAGGAAAAATAATTTCAGTCACATTTGAGGTGTCAGTTCCACTTTGCTAAAATTTGAATTGATTTCATGAACACAGCATGACATTTTCAACTAATTAATTCCTACAATTTGATGCCTCACAAATTGGAACTCCTAGAGGCCTTATGTCAAATTTGTTTCTCGAAGTGCACAATACATGGAGTCTAGCACTTAACGTTGATGAAAAGGTGTTATGACAAAGCAACTTTCAGAGAACTAATGCCCTCAACAAATGTATAATGTAGAATATAGTGCATTACAGGCTTTAAGTAGAAAAGAAGAAAGAAAGAAGACAGTTACAGCCAATTTAGACCTAATGTTCAGTGACAAGCATAAACTGAAATGTGAAACCAGTCAAAACATGACCATGATAGCAAGCTAGTGTGATGAAAAAATTGATTAGACCTTTGATAAGATCTTGGATGAAAATGCAGGTTTAAGAAGAAGAGTAGAATGGTTATAGAAAAGAGCAATTAGACTTTCAAGGAAAAGCCCAAAACTTTCAAGCAGGCTAGAAATATAGGGGATAACACCAAGTAAATTAGAGAATCCTCGCATTCAATTTTACATAGCATCTATGTGTCTGTGTATATGTATGTATAAAAAGATGGCAGGTACATGTGTCAAAGTAATTAAGCATCACAATAAAGATGACCCACCTCTACTCCCCCAATGCAGAACAATACCACCAGAACCTCGATAAACCAGTAAGACATAAGTTTGTAAAGCATAACCAAGAAACATGAAGCAATCACAACAAAGAGTATTGCAGACGCCGTGTTGATGTTAACGATACCACTAGAACGAACAGCATCTGTCTGAATAAATTCATCAGAACCATCCTGCAAGAACGATGTCAACCACACATCACTTGAAAAATCAGGGATCTAATTCACCGAGAATTACACTTGATAGGAATTGCAAAAAATTAGCTGTCTATATGCCCAAAATAACCTTTAATAGCTTATCCTGCTCTATAGCAGCTTCTCTAGCACTCCATGCAGACCAGTAAGAAGCACATAAAATGGTACCGGCAGCCATAAGCCATAAGAACACTTCTGCAACATCAACCACTGGACGTTGTGGAGAGTATAGTTGCACTTTAACTGAGGAAGAGAACACATGGAAGTGCAAACAAATGAATAATCCATTTAAACAAAAGCAAGATTGCATATTGAGTTTTAATAACAATATAACCACTTTATGTACAATTGCATCCAAAGAAACGAAAATGCATATCCGACTGTGTGACCAGGTACCAGGGAATTCATGAATATTGAGAAATGCATACCTGATGAGCTGCTCGTCAAATATTTTTCCAAGCTGGCACCAGCATCTTGTGGGAGCATGACAGCAGCAATGCCAATCTTCACATCAGTTTCATTGACTTCACAAACCATCTTGAAGAGTTCTACAGAAAAAAAGTTCCAAGAGTAAATCATGAAACCAAAAATGCAAATATGATCAGCATCAACTTTTGTTCATAAAGAAGCCACAACAATGATGAGTTCATCAATTTACTTTGGTGACACTCCTCACATGTCCTAAAAATATATATATTACTTTTTTGGAAAAAAAAAAAAACTGGCTTTTGATACATTTAATATGACTGCAGCTGTACAGTCACAATAACTTCCTGTATATGAAGGGAGTTGATGAAACCATTCTGAGGAAATACGAATAAAAGTAGAGTTTGTACTAAGAGTCTTAGTTTTACAGAACCAAAAGCAGCAGAAAATGAACGGATTTTGGCAGTAGTATGAACAAGAATAACAACAATTACGAGGATATAGATGCCTGTTGAGAGAGAGAGAGCAGTGGCATTTATATACATAAACAAAAACAGAACATGAAGAGCTAGACAGATCAGTTATTTCAGTCTTAAGCTCCAAGAGATCTTTTGCATAGCAGCATATTGGCATGCAAGTCTACTGAGAGGGTTTTGAAATAATAGACACACAAAGATGGCAAAATGTTACATGCAAACACCTGTCCGGTTGTTTATTATAAGAATTGCTGAAGCACCAGCATCTTCAGCAACATTTGCCTTGGTTGTGAAGCTACAGTTACCTCGGTGAGCCAAGATCACCTCCCCTGAAAGCTACCAGGCAACGAGAAAGTCCAAATTATAAGAAAATGGATAGATGAACATTATTTTATGTAATTAATTAAAATATGAGAAAGACGAACTCTACAAATAGATCAGAAGTTGAAATAGAAAACCTTATTTTTGGGTTTTCTGCAGCAATCAGGAGGGTCAGCCAGAGAAAGTATAGATAAATTAGCATGTTTTTCCTTTGATTCCAAAGTGAGGCCAAAACGAGCACCAACACCAACATACTCAATGTCTTCTACACCATTAATATAAGTTGGTACTTTGACCTATAGAATAAAATTCAATAAGAAATAACATCCAACAACATTTTACAGATGCAAGTAATCATTTTTAATTTCTCATTCACTATGAAATGAACCAAAAAAAAAAAATAATAATAATCTAAGATCATAAACAATCCTCCAAGCAAAGAAACAGAGCAGAACAAAATGATGATAAATTTAAAATTTAATTTTGGTACATAAATTAAAATTTTTGTTTCAACTTATTCTTGGAACAAATATTTCTTAATATTCAAAAAGAAAAGGAGGGAAGCATATAAAGCGAATATCCTCTCCAAGTCTGCTACTATTATTCCTTTAAAAAAAAAATAAAATAAAAATCAATATAGTACTTACCTGCATACAATTTTCCATCATTTTCTAGGCAACCAAACAGAATTCAACATTAAAGCAAATTAAATTAAAACAAAACACTTCATTCAATTCAAGCGAAACTGCTACAATTGCTACCACTTCGCATCAAAATTGAAATAACCAACTCATCACAAAAATCAACAACCAAAAAGTTAACAATTTGCTTCACTTTCCTTTCCTTTCTTCATTTTTCTCACCATTCAAACAGAATCAACAAAAAAAATTTGAACAAACTTTAAAGTGAAGTGACGGGGATTTTTCCTCAAAGCTTTTACCAGAACGAAGTTATTTTCGCAGCCGGGCCGCTTGGGAGCGACGTCATCGTGGTGCACTATATCACCAGTAGATCCAAAGCCAAAGCTTGAAGCCAACACAACTATAAATACATATATGGTTTTATAAATATCCATTTAAACTAAATAATTTGAAGCTTTTTTTTTAGGGTTTCAGCAGAGAGAGAGAGATTGGTTGGCAGAAAGCAGGACAGGAGGAAATGTGAAAATGGAGAGAGAACGTTTTGTCCTTGTCGTTTTCGGAGGGAGACATGATAAAAACGCCGTGAGCTAACCGTTATTGAACTGGTTTGCTTCTTAACTTTTCTTTTTTTGTTGGTCGGTTTGATGAAACGTGTTGCTTGGAGCGTGTCAATCACGGCCCGAAATTTCAGAACAATAGCAGGTATGTTTTTTTTTTTTTCATCTAACTTTTCTTGTGCAGTAAAAACACATTTAATAGTATAAGAGGTCAGGGAAAAACAAAATATAATTATGGAATTTGGATTGAGATCTTCAAACCAGTCATGTTTATTAAATTTAAATAATATTTCAAGTTAAATATTTAATATATAATTAAAATATAAATTCTTATTATTTTTTTCATCCAATTCAAATCATTAAATTAAAAAATAAAAAATAATATTTGGAGCATGACCCATTATCTAAATTCATGAACTTTAGTTTTTAAGACACAATTATGGGAAGTTTAATCTTCAAAAGTTAAAAAGAAAAGAAAAGAATAGTTTAGATTTTTGAATAGTGAATCACCATAACTAGATATCATTAACAAGTTTCAAACGTAAATTACATAGTAATATCAGTTAGGCTAAAAATAATTAATTATTTACCAATGTTTATGAAATATGAATTTATCCACCAAACCATAAAAATTTCTACAAATTAATTATATCATTAGATGATAACTTAAAATTAATGTCACATCCAAATGCAGTATATATATATATTTAAATGAATATTCTTTTAACTTCACGTAATTCTATTTATTCTCACTAATAAATACACCTCGTAGCGACTGTGGTATAAAATAATGATTATATATTTTAATTAGATCAAAAGAAGAGAGAAACCATAGCATAATTATCCACTACAATTAATTAGATTCATACTCCTGATTAGATGAAAGAATTCACATTTAAGATTTATTCCCAGAAATAAGTTTACAAGAGCTTAATGTGAACTCACAAGTTAAAACGACGTCACGACAAGATATGTAAGACTTTTTGTAAAAGCTGTCACAACAAGACACTGAGCTGCCGCACTGGTGGTTTCACCAACTCACAGAAAGTCGTTGATAAAAGCAAAGCGCGTGGGACAGTATATAACCTTCGATCAAAGGTTACTGGCAACTGTCTGAAGAGGTTAAAAAGTACCGTATACGCCGTACAGATAAGACGGCGGGAGTAAATTATTGCCTTCCTTCTTGTCTTCTGCGTTCGAATTCACCTAAGCCTGTACACGTGGCAAATAAGTGTTGCATCATAAATATTTCTGTGTTTTTGTTTGAGGTGTCCCAATGTCCTCTGGACACGTATTACCGTCGCCGTATCTGAAAGTACCGGTCAGAACATAGACCTTTCGTTAGGCGTACGGCAGTAGAGCTGAGAAAAGGGGTCCCCCACAGGGATGAAACATCTGGTCAGCTATTCACACATGCACCATCGGTGTTGGTGGAATCACAAGTGGGCTTGATTGATTTGTGTGGACCCTATAGGGCCTGTATTTGGAGATTTAGCTAGGTGATGATCGAATGGGCTTTAAACCCACTGAGAAACGTTTAAACAAACATTCTAATTCAAATAAATAAATCATACAAAATTTTGATAACAATTGAAACGATAATTGTAATCCTCATCCTTAAACAGTCACTTGATAATATTACAAGATCTATGATTTATCATTTATCACTAGTCATATTTATTTGTATCAAGGTTTAGTATAATCTGTTTATATTATACGTATAATATATATTCAATTGATTTCCTTACCAAAAAAAAAAAAAAAAAAAAGCAAGATGCTCTTATTCTGTAGCTATTTATTAGTTGACTTCTCACGCTACGTTGTTGGACCAAAAAATAAATTTAATTTAGTTTGATAGTCTGTATTATATTGTTGATCTACTAAAATATATAAAAATATAGATAATTTTTTATCTAATTTATATTTTTTAATCAAAATTTTGTATTTGATTTATTCTTCTTTGTATTTTTCATAAAATTTTTAGTTAAAAAACACGATCTATTCTTCTTTATGTGTTTATTCTTAAATAAAAACCTATAATAATTTAAATAAAAAATAATATGAAATTTTAAAAGCAATTTAATACTTTTTTTTGTTAGATTTAATCAAAGAAACAAAACAACGAGTTAATATAAAAATTTATATAAATATTTTTATGGTTCTTTAATGTTGACGAGAAGACTAATTTTTTGAAAATATGTATATTCAATTTATATTTATTTATTTATAAAATAATCAATAATATTATTATAAAAATTGTATTTGAATTATTAGGTGGTTCTTTTAAAAGATTATTTAACTTATTTTTTTTGAAATAAATTAATAATAAATGATTGATGTTATCTATGTAGATCCTACATAGTTAATTTACAATAAAATCAATGATCTTAATTTTTATTTTTTTATAAATCATGACTATATTTAATGGGTCGAGTATGCAACATAAATCAAAACATATTTTTTAAAAAAGCTTAAACTCGTGAGGAATATATTGAAATTAATAGGTTGCAATAAAAACAACCATAAAATTGATTCGATAAATTTTGATTATATAAAAAATAAGCAAATAAAGCACATGAATTCTATTTTTAATTAATTATTTATTTTTAAAATGATTCAAAAATCTATTTACGAGGGAAAATAAATTATATTTATTAACAAATAAAATTACATAAAAAAGAAGAATGAAAAAAATTGAAAAGAATTTTCATAAGAAATAACAAATTGAAAAGATCAATTTTAAACAATAAAAATAATATAATCCGATACATTTACTTATGAAAAACTATAAAAAAATAACAATGGTATCAATTCAATAAATAACAAATTGCTTGAAAAAACAAAAGCCAAGACAAAAAAAATAGAGGCAAGCCTAGTTCATCTAGAGACCAAAAACGTCTTTTAAAAACATCAAATATCAAAATAAAATATAATATAAATTTTGTTTATAAATGTTAAAAAAATCACCAAAATACTATGGTTTAAAAAAAAAAAACATAAAGTAAATAGTGATTTGTGGCGGAATGAATAGTCACAATCTCTATTCCTGTACTTGTTTTTATTGACAAACTCAAGTTTTCTAGAGTCGCTAGCATTATAATATGTGTTCGTGGGAAATTAAAATCACTGATTTTAAAAATTAGTGGCGGTTCTTTTAGAGACTGGGAAAACAGCAGCTCTCTTGGGACTTTCATTTTTCAATAATATATGAATTTAAGTCCTTTTACTTTTCCAATTATTCAATTTGGTCCTTAGATAACAAACAGTAAGCTTCCAGTAACAACATATATATTTTTCAAAATAGTTTTTCCTTCTTTTTTTTCCTGTCAAGTGAAGTTTAAAACTAACATTGGCACTCACTGCATTGAAAAATTAAAATCACAATAAAAATTTGGTAATTTAACTTCTTTTTGTGTTTCTTTCAGAAGTTTGTGATTTTATTATTGGTTTCTTTTCCTTACCAACTATTAATTCATACGCATACATATCAAGCAGCCTTTTCAACCTTTGTTATTGGATTTGGAAACAATGAATAGGGCCTTAAAAGTGCGTCAACACAAAATGGCATTGTAGTAATTTAGCCGGTGGCTTACAATTTATAACCTTATATAGATAGATTTACAAACCCAAAAGAGTAGAGCATATGTTCAGAAATATTTCTATATTGTGCCAATTGGTGGAGCCATTTGCCGACAGTGCTTTAGGCCTCTCTCCACAAAGGTGTCATAGTCAGTCCTTGGAACTTTTGCTTTCCACTGCCATCCAATGGGTCATTTGGCACTTTCAATTGGCTCTAATCAATTGCTTGTCTATATCGCAAGTTGTTCGCTGTCTTCTCAGCCATCTAAGAGACCCCCTCCACATCTATTAAGCTTTTCCTCTCTGGCATTGCACAAGATGAATGGCAGGGGAAAGGTGGGCAGTAACATGTAAAAACAAGTAGCACAAATCAGTCCACCCAACAATCAAACTGAAGCTCCAGATCTCATAGCAATAGCTGCTAAGCCAGGGGAGAGAGATTTAAAATTCTTATTCAAAGGACTAGAGGATTGCTGAAGGAAGTAAAAAATGTAAAGGGACTATCATTTATCTTGCAATTCTGTGTGAATTTATCTATTGAGATGCAGATCTTGTTTCTTCTTTCAGCATCAATAGGCATACTTTGTCATGACTGTTGAAACTGCATGATGATTTTTTTAAAAAAATAAAAATAAAAATAAAAGCGGAAAGCACAAAGGAAAGTCAGAAAACAAGCCAATTGGAATCCAAGGGCCACTTCCCTTTTACTATTTTTACTCTTGCAACGCACAAGCTGCCTCGAACAGTATTCCAGGAACAAAATGCAAAACTTAATATAGCAGATTAGAAGTCTAAACTAACAAATCAAAAACCAGTGCCCTTACAAATGATCAATCAACTCAAAAAAAGAATGCAGCGCATGCAATGCCGATTAAAATTTCAAAAACCGAATTACATAAGAGAATAGCAACTTTAATGCAACTAGCAGAAACACAGTTTCAGGTAGAATTGCATCAGAGCCAAGTACTAGTATCAGCACTACAGTGTACGGTAGAATGCATCAATGTCAGTATTAGCAGCAGCAACAATGAAACAAAAGAGCGATCAAAGGAACGACACTTCAGAGATGCGAGCACCCCAACTCAAAACAGAAGGGCAGTGGAAACCTCAGAGATAGACAAAATTGTAAATTTGTAACAATAGGAACATAAGAAATTACACTGATTAATGAATTCCCACTGTCAACCTATATCACAGGTGCATCAGCAACGAACACTTTGCCATTATACAGCTACCCTGATAATTCAGGTTAGAAGAAACACATCAACTTAAAACTACATATGATGATTTTTCTAAACTATTAGTAGTGTAAGATTAGTTGGTATTGTGAATGCCAATGATATGAATAGCTAATTATCAAATAAGGAGGAATTCGAGCAAAGTTATATATTTATCTTTCTGAGAGAGGAAGATAAGAACATTTTGTTCTGTAATTACAAAGTCCATAATACTCCAGTTCAAACACCTAATTTTAACAGAACGCAATAAAACCACCCGCTGCTCTTTTTCTGCCCTATACTCTGCAGGTCCACACTGCATTGCGAGATGATAATTCAAGAAGTTCCACTTTGAAACTCAGACAAATTTTCGCAGACTACGGCGATGAAAAACTGCCTGAATGGCACACCACATATCAGGGGACAACAAGCTAATATAAAGTTATGAACAGTTGATTCTATTGCAAATTTAAGCAACAGAGCACAAAATTGAACACTTGAAACGTAGTCTAATAAGAGTAAAATCCATTTTCAATTCATTAAAATAGATACTAAACACAACTAAATATCACTTTTAATATGCTAAGAATTAATTACAATAAAATAATCCATTCCTCTGAACATTGAAAAAGTCAATTAATCAACTATAGTCCTAATAATAATATCAACATATATCATACCCAGCTTGCTAACCATATCACTAATTTCAGTTCATATATTACCTTAATTATCAGAAATTTGGAAAATTAATAGATAGGTCCCTCGTCACCAAGATCATCATCAGTAGGGGGTTGAAATCATCCTCATCATCATCGAAACCCTCCCCACGACCATAGTCACCATCGGATGACAACGGCGATTTATCCCCGTCACTATCGTATTCGTCATCTTCTTCTTCACTTCCTTCCTCTCCCTTCTCCTCCTCCTCCTCCTCCTCCTCCTCGTCTTCGCTATCATTCTCTTCAAAATCTCCTCTGTTCGCTTCGCTTTTCTCCCAATCCTTAAACATTCTATCCTCCCTCTTAAAATCCCACTTAACCTTTTTTTGACCTCTCCTTTTCATCCCTACAAGCAAATCTCGAGGAAAATTACCTTTCTTGAGCTCCAGGTAATCTGATAGCGGACGTTTATTAGATGATTTTAATCGAAACCTATCAGAAAACCTTTCGTTTTGGAATGCCTTTTCGATGGCAATATCTCCTGAGTTTTCTTGTAGATAATATGGAGAATTTTTCCAAAATTCTGTCAATTTGACATCTTTGCTAACCAGAAATTTTTGTTGCACTAATTCTTGTTTCTTGATATCTTTTTCAAAAAGAATGTCTGGCAGCTCTGGTAAGACGATATTATCATCAGGATAAAGAATGAAGGGCTTTTGGTTCTGGGGTACCCTGCCTGGATGAAAGCGCCCACCGTAACCACGGCCACGGCCACGGCCGCGCCAAGACATTGGGCGTTCGAGTTCTGGGAAACTCTGAGTAAGGGAATGGAAAGCGTGGATGCTAAGGAATGTTTTAGGGGTTTCTTTTATGGGTATTTCAGAAAATTGCCCTTTAATTTTCTTTTTCAAGGTGTAGGAAAGGTTAAAAAGGCTGTAAATATCAGCTAGGCCCAATACGCCTGAAGAGAGGCCTGCCGGACAAAAATCAAATTCAAAACCTTAAATTATAATTTTTTTTCATTCTCGACACCCAACTTCTAACATAATTAGTCTTTTATAATTTAAATTCGTAAGATCATTTCCACTTAGCTACAAGCTATTTGCTATTAAATTATGATTTAGTTGTTGTGTTTTTTATGAATTTATAAGTTAGTATTTATTGGCTTAAAAATTATATGCTATTCCCTTACTACCGAGAGTTGACAATCTAATATAGAAATGACCGAGACAAGAGAGAAACTATATCCAAAGCTGCCATGTTCTTTCTTGAATTAAATAATGAAGAACATGGTCAGGAACATGACTGCAAGGTTTGTCTTGTTGGAAGAAGGAACTTCAATGCTGTTTCAGCCACTCCTGAATTGCAGAACGAAGAGAACGATTAGCAACCTGAGGATCTTGAATGACTTCGCAGGTAAATCCAGCTGCTTCGTAGGTAAATACATCTGCTGCAACCCGAGGATCTTGCATGACTTCCTGCAAACATTAGCAAATAATATTGTTACTGCACCCATTAAGGAATTGGTTCAGGAAAACAACGAAGTATATGTGAACTGCACACACTTCAGAAAAAGGAACTGATGATGACAATTGAAAAGAGATGAAAGTAACATTTAATTTAAGAAAGCAATGGAATTACCTGCAAATGGGACAAATGAAATGTGGCGCGCGGAGGCTGTTAGGGTTCTCTGGAATCAAACTGGAACGATAATGAGGCTCCACAAGAAGCTCAAATTGGTTCAAGTACCCTCCACACTTCTGATGCAAGGTCGGGCCGGTTGCTTTGACTTTGATTCATTTTGCAGCATCTCAAAGCTAGGCTAGCCAATTGCTTGGCTTTCACAAATGGCCAGTTCCCAGCGAGGGATCCAACAAGGAGCTTAGATTTCTCTTATTTATGGCATCTCCAATTTCCTTTGCTAGGCCAAAGGCTGGCCTCCCTGTCAATAACTGTAACAATATAATTCCAAATGAGAAAGTGTCAGACTTGGGAGACAATTCTCCTGGTGTAAGAAGATGAGGATCCAGATAGTGAAAAGTGCCCTTTGGGTCGGTTCTGTAACACAGTGTTGGGTTATTTGCATTTTCATGAATGGAAAGAGCTCGACAGATTCCGAAATCACCGAGTCGGCAATATCTACAGTTTTTAAATCACCATGTACAATGCCGTGAGGACTGATGAGGATTGCTAGCTAACTCAGTAGCTATGCGTATTCGAGCTTCCCACGATAATGGAGGAGTGTTATTCTTGCATCTGAGACGATCTTCAAGACTTCAATTTGGTATATATCCATAGATTAGAGCACAAACTTCTGAACAGGCTCTAACGAGAGTGACCACGTCTGGATGTCTCAGCTTACTCAATACATCAACCTGAATAAAAGCAGCAGATGTGGCAGTGTAAATCATAATATAAACACTTTGCTTCATAATTTTCTTAAGTACATAGTTTTTACCATCCTGATAGTTTTTATCCAGTTTTTACCATCCTGATAGTTTTTATCCACATAATGAAGTACCAACAAACACGCATCTCTTCTAATAGACTGCAGAAAGGATAAATTATCAGGATCAAATATTGGACCTCTGGAGCTTAGAAACATCATGTTCAGCTTTTTATTTGTTGCAATACTGGAAAGTCCGATTAAACCATGTATCAGACTTTACATAAAAACTTTATAGAGAGAAAAGGTCCCATAAAATTTCTGTACATATTAAGCATCGAGGTTTATGATTGCCCAATAACAAGTTTACAACCAAAGGATCCATATATTAAAAAGCCTAGTGAACCTCACATTTTGCGCAAATATTGCAAGTAAAAAGCCTATATAGATAATATATATAAAGACGAAATCTTTAGATCTTCAATTCATGCTTGCTTGATAAAGTAACACCAGCATTACAGTAGATACATTACACTAGTGTACATGCAAATAAGAACTCTCACCTCCTGTTTAAACTCCGCAGGCCCTTGTATGCTATCTGGATTCAGCATCTTTATGGAAACTGGAGGTGACGAAGGAAAACCTTTATAAATGCTCTCATACCCACCTTCCCTGTCTTCAATGATGGGTCAAAATTGCAAGTTGCTTCCCGAATTTCTAACAGCGAGAAGGCAGAGAAACTGATGCATGCGCATGTTTGAGACAACTTCTGCTTGCTTTTTCGAAAGCTCCTTACCTAACTCATCTGTTTCTTCCTTGTACTTTTTGCAGTCTTCCACAGCAGAAAATATTTTATCACCCAACTATTTTATCTTATCATCAAAGTATGCAGCTTGCTTCTCTCGTATTTCTCTGATTCATGGCAATCGAATGGGCTCTATTCCATTCGTCTTCCATCCTCTGATGGTTTTCCTTTTCTTTTGTAAGTGCCTCTGATAGTCCTTCTGTCAGATTGGTCTACAAGAGGAAAGGGAAGAGAGGGTCAAGGCTAAAAGAAGAAGATGGACTTGAAAACCAGGAAGGTGGGTTGCATTTGAAGGACAAAGAAGAGGGCAGTAGCTTTGGGCTACACTGAGCCGTTACCTATCTGTGCCCATTTATATTTCTTGGCTTGTTCTTGTTATTACTAGGTTGGTTACAGGATGGGGGTTAGTTTTGGAATTGAGAGAATTACTAACAAACCTGTCAGGCTCTAGAAAGAGGTGATACTTGGTGTGGGGTTTTTGGTAGCAAAATGGAGGGGGAAATATATATATAAGGGGGACTGACGTAGGGAGAGGGGAGAGATATTTTGGTATAAAGTGGGTTGACATTCTTGTCAGAGAGAGATTCAGCCTTTCGAATTGCTGTTAACATTCATAATTCAATAAAAGTGCTCTTACGTATTCTTCCTCTTTCGTGTTGTGTGTTGCATTCTGTTATTTGCGCCTTGTTTCTTATCATTTTGGTATCAGAGTGTTGATCCCTTGTGGGTAATGCCCAGCACTCGAATGAAATCACGGTTAGAATAGGTGGAGAATGAAGTGAAGTAGATGCTAACACTCAAGGAAGAAGTCACAGAGCTGACAGTGACAACTGCAACCATGGCCTAGTGAATATAAAAGACCTTTCAGGTTATTTTAAAAGGGCAAGCCATGGAAGCCCATACCCATGCTGAGACTAATTATGCTCACCAGCAATCCACACCAGAGCAAAAGAACTCACCTGAGGTTTCAGCTTTAGTAGAGAGAATTGTGGAGAAGGATATGCAGCCAAGGAAGCTTGATCTTCCTACCTTTACTGGAGAAGACCTAGACGCATGGGTCTTTCGTGCTGAGAGATACTTTGCGGTTACCAAAGTTGTCTGAGTTGGAGAAGCTGGAGGCAGTGGGAGTGTGCCTTGAGGGAGAAGCTCAGGCATGGTTGAGATTTGAAGAGAGGGAAGAGCCATTCTCTTCATGGGAAGAGTTGAAGTTGTAAATGCTTCAGAGGTTTCTTGAACCAGAGGAGGGAACGATTGTTCAACGTTTCTTTGTCGTCCGACAAACTAGTACGGTGGCTGAGTACCGTGCTCAGTTTAAGATGATTGTCGCCGTAGTAGGGAAGATGGAGGAGAACTTTATGACTGTTGTCTTCTTAAATGGGCTGGAAGAGAAAATAAGGGTTGCACTTACCATGCTTAATCCTATTGGACTTAAGGACACAAGGTTGGCTGCAGCCCGTGTGGAAAGGAAAAATCAATTACTCAGCCCCAAATCCATAACTCGAAGTCAAAGGGAGCTTCCTTTTAATCCAATTAAGGGTGAGGCCCGAACAAGTCCATAGACCCCTTCAAAAATAACCCACTCAAACCCAGCCCCATTCACCCCGTTTGGTAACAGTTCCACAACCACAAAAACCCACCCCTAACCTCTCACCACCATTTCAGCAGACTTGAATCGAAGCCAACACATGCCTTTCCACACTCTCCACAGTCTTCACATTTGTCCACTACTTCTTCATCCTCCACTGCTAGAATAAGGCGTCTGACATCGACAGAAGCTCAAGCCTATAGGGAGAAGGGGTTTTGTTATAGGTGTGATGAAAAATGACATATGGGTCACAGATACAGGAACCAAGAGCTTTATGTCCTAATGGTCAGTGAAGAAGAGGGAGAGGAGGCAGGAACCGAGGAGGAGCAGAGGGATTTGGAGGAATTATTAATTATGGAAATGGTGGAACTCTCCTTGAGCTCAGTAGTAGGGCTGAGTACCCTTAGGACTATGAAGCTAAAGGGAATGGTGGGAGATACGACAGTGGTGGTGCTAGTGGATTATGGGGCAACCCATAACTTTATTTCTAAGGATGTGGTGGACAAGCTGGCACTACCCATTTCAAATACCATTGGATATTCCATTACTATTGGTAATGGAGAGAAACTCCATGGGATGGGCATCTGCAAAGGGGTGGAAGTGAGGCTGCTAGAATTGAATATTATTGAGGATTTCCTTCCTCTCACCATGGGTAGTGACGATGTAATTTTTGGGTTAAAATGGCTATCTACCTTGGGTGAAACTAGAGATGATTGGCGCAAACTAACCATGGCCTTAGAGGTAGATGGAAGGCAGATTATGCTCAAAGGTGGCCCGAGCTTGACCAGAGTAGTGGTTTCTTTCAAATCCATTAGTAAGAGTGTTAAGGAACAGGGAGAGGGGTTACTTCTGGAATTGTATCAACTATCTGCCTTTGAGAGGGAAGGATCAGGGGAGGTAGCACTAGGACTGAGGGAGGTCTTCAAAGAATTTAAAGAAGTATTCAGGACACCTACAAGGTTGCCTCCTGAGTGTGCTCAGGACCATGCCATCGTGTTAAGGGAAGGGACAGAACTAATAAGGGTGAGGCTTTATCGTTACCTTCATATTCAGAAGAACAAAATTGAAAGACTAGTAGCTGAGATGCTAATTGCATGGGTGGTTCAACCCAGCACCAGCCCATTTTCCAGTCTGGTATTATTGGTAGAAAAAAAGGATGGGAGCTGGAGATTTTGTGTAGACTACAGGGCTTTAAACAAGGCGACCATTCCAAATCTTTTTTCCATCCCTAACATAAACGAGCTTTTGGATGAATTACACGGTGCTAGGGTCTTTTCTAAGTTGGATTTGAAGTCGGGTTATCACCAAATCCGGGTTCAACCCTAAGATATTCCCAAGATAGCTTTTCGTACACATGAAGGGCATTACGAGTTCTTAGTAATGCCTTTCGGTCTCACCAATGCTCCGACAACCTTTCAAGCTCTCATGAATACTGTCTTCAGGGAACAAATGAGGAAAATTATGTTGGTGTTCTTCGACGATATCCTGGTCTATAGCCCATCCATGGAGGAACACAAAAGGAACTTGTATGAGATTTTGATCATACTCCGTGTTCAGCAGCTGGTTGTCAACTACAAGAAGTGCTATTTTGGACAGCTAAGATTAGAGTATTTAGGTCACATAATCTCAACTGAAGGGGTGATAGCAGACCCGGATAAGGTGAGAGCTATGGAGGAATGGCCAAGACCTAACACCCTGAAGGAGTTCAGGGGTTTTTTAGGGCTGACCAAGTATTATCGACGTTTTGTTAGGAACTATGGCAAGATAGCAGCACTTTTGACTTAGCTGCTCAAAAAGGAAAATTTTGAGTAGACAGAGGAAGCTACTCGAGCTATGGAACATATTAAACAGGCCATGAAATGAAAGATGTTCTTGTTTTGGCACTTTCAAATTTTGAGGAGCCATTTGTAGTCGAGATGGATACCTCGGGTGTGGGTTTGGGAGCTGTGATATCTCAAAAGGGGTAGTCTATTGCTTTTTTTAGTCAAGCTTTAACTGGTAGGACTAGACTGAGATCAGTTTACGAAAGGAAGTTGATGGCAATTGTATTTGTCGTTCAAAAATGGAGGCACTACTTGTTAGGATGGCACTTTGTGGTCTGGACAAATCAGAAAAGCCTTAAGTTTCTACTCGAGCAGCGGGTGATTGTCCCAAAATATAAAAAATGGTTAGTAAAACTAATGGGATTTCAGTTTTAGATACAATACCGCCTTGGTATTGATAACCAAGCAGCAGATGCACTATCAAGACTTCTTATGTCGCTAAAATTATGACCCTCTCCATCGTTGTGTTATTGGATTGGGATAAAATTACGAAAGGAGTGAGGCAAGACCCTAATTGTCCTTGATTGTTCAAGCCTGGAAGCTGACCCAATGGCTAAGCCAGGCTGGAGTTTGGTACAAGGGCAGTTACGTTACCAAGATCGAGTGGTTCTTGCTCAAAATTCTCCTATTCGAACCAAGCTATTAGAGGAGTTCCATGCCAGCCTCATGGAGGGACATGGTGGGTTTTTGAAAACATATAAGAAGCTGGCAAGGGAATTGTTTTGGGACGGGATGCAATCAGACGTTAAGGACTTCGTGAGCACTTGTTCAGTATGTCAATAAAACAAATATGACACCATGTCCCCCGCAGGGTTACTGCAGCCCTTACCACTGTCATAGGCAATTTGGGACGATAATTGAATTAATTACAAAAAATAGTTAATAAAACTTCTAATAGATAAATATCACACGAACTGAGGTGAGGGATACCCCCTTCAATGTGCAAAAAACCCATGGTCCCCATCCTTGCAGGGCCACTAGTCAGGCCCACAAGTCTTGTTTAACATGGTAATCGTGTCGACTTAGCAATGCACCTCCCTAATATTACCTGCCTTGCACCCGAAGGGGTTTGGATCAGAGTTACTAATCATTTAAAAAAAAACAAATGAAATAGATTTGAAGAAGTCAAGCTTTACAAGAAAGCTATCAAAAATTTTTAGAAACTAAAAAGAAATGTTCATGAATCATGGCGTAGTAATTATTACTCCTGTAACGAAATTCCAGAGCTCCTATACAAGCTAGAGCAATTGGCTACTTTGCAGATTGCATTCAGAACTCTATTAATCATCATGAACAATCATTTCTTATATCCCTTAAAGTGAAAAAAACTCTGAGATGACCCTCTAGTCCATAATTTTAAATAGCAATCACGGATAAAAAAATGATCACAATTACTTATCACGGTAGTAAAATAACGATCACAACAATTGATGTCATGAATACATTAGAAAGTGTTAATAAGTTTATTTTAATTTTTATATTTTTAACAGTTTTACTAATTAAGTATACTAATAAGTAATAATATATCTAATAGTTTAATATCATACAACGATAGTTGAATTTATTACAAAAAATAGTTAATAACACTTCTAATAGATAAATATCACAAAAAAATACATTACAATTTCAATAAACACATTATAAAATATTCATCTTTAAAATAATCATCGTGGAGAATCATAATAATATTTATTATTTTGTTGTTGATATTGTGATTCTTGTCTATCAAAATTATGTACAACAATAACTAGTTTTGAAAAGCAAATTAGAAAATAACATAAAATTAAAAAAATAATAATAAGTTTTTTAAAAAATTAAGACCATCTAATTAATTTTCTTAAACTAAAATGAATAATTTATAATTTATTCAATTAAAGCAACATTCGCTTTGCAGCCTTTGAATTTGTACATGCAAGATAGCCAAAGTATAATAATAAAAGACTAAGGGTGTGTTTGATAACTTATTTAAGTAGCTTAAAAAATTAAGTTGTAGCACTTACTATAGAAATTTTGTTTGATAATCTAAATAATCTCATATTTAAAATTTAAATTCATTCAAAATCTACTTGATTAGATAAGTTTTTAACTTATTACTTTTTGATTAACATGCTCAACTGAAAAACTTTTAAAACTTTTTAAATATGACTATATAGCCCTCATATATTCTTATCACCCTAGCTATACAAACCAATTGAGAAATGATCTCTACTATTCCCATCGTCAAAATAGAGGAGACCTTCTCCATTATCGGTTCTTCCATCTCATCATTGTCAACAATCTACTAGTTAGAAGAAAATCAAATAAAAATCTCAATTATAAAGGTAGATTTTATTATATTCTAAAGTTATGTCAAAAACATCTTATTGAATTTTATACTAGCTTTTAGTGATCTTCTCAATGTAGTGTTTTCCTTGTTAACTTTGGGTCATCAATGTCATTTTTTCCTAGTTTTATCTTACAGGAAACAAGTGCAAGGGTTCATAAGGTTCTTTTCATTAAGCTTTCTTTGGGCTTTCTTTCAATAGTTCTATTCTAGTGGAGCACTATGAGGATTTTCTCGGTTTCCTACATTTGGCTTGAAAGCTTAAAAGAATTCGTGCGTGCTCAACATATTTTCTTCACATCTTGTAGGCTCGTTTTTGATTGATTTGTCTTGCATCATAATTAGTTAGAGAATTGAATTTGGTAGATTTTACTTCAATTTTAGCATGACTTATATTGACGCGAGAATGATCTGTTCCCATCTTGTGAATTTGTCTTAGCTTCTTGGAGCGATGCTTTCTTGG